AAAGTATGTTTGTACATATCCATCCTTCCTAGGTAGAGTAGAATTCTCAGTGTATTTCTGTGCACACATACACATATGTATAAAAAGAGTTCCACCACATGGGTTTTCTTTGTAATGTATTTTGTTCCATTTACTGTATCGTAGAAGTATCATAATACAGTGATTATGAGTAGGGGCTCAGGGTGACAGACTGCTAGGGTGTTAAACTAGGCTCTGCCGCTCACTCACTGACCTTTTTTTTTTTTTTTTTCCCATTTATTTTTATTAGTTGGAGGCTACTTACTTTACAGTATTGTAGTGGTTTTTGCCATACATTGACATGAATCAGCCATGGATTTACATGTGTTCCCCATCCCGATCCCCCCTCCCTCACTCACTGACCTTAAATTAACCTTTCTGAATTGTGGTTTCCCAAGAATATGTTAACTTTCTCTGTTGACGAATATTTACATTAGCGTCTGTGGAATGCTCTTTGCTTATTTTGCATTCTGAAGTTGAGCTGGGCTCACAGGGCTGAGCAGGAAGCCCCGTGTTCTCTTCCTGGGCACCTGTTTCTCTGTGGCCCGTCCCCTGCAGGGCCGCTCTCCTGCCTCTCACTGCAGCCGTGTCTGCTGCCTCCAGTGAGCCTGTTGGCATCCAGGTCGTGCCGGGCCCAGGGTGTGCCACGCTCCTCTGTTAGCTGGCGCTCCTGAGGAATTCCAGGTGGCTCCAAAGCCTTGTAAGTTTTGAAAATTATTTTCTGTATAAAGATTTTGAAGATTTAGGTTAATTTACAGCTAACAGTGAAGAAGTAAATAAAGATTTTTATATAAATGTCAGTGCTTTTTCTTTATTCTATTACTGGGAAGCCAAAGGCTGCAGTTATTTATACAAATTCTTTTGGAGGGGCTGTGGGGAGTCATGTTCACCATCTTGCATCCTCATATTTTACCCAGCTTATTTGTTGGCTTAGTGAGTAAACCAAAGTAAAAACCTCTCTCAAACTACAGCCATGGAGAGAGATTCTCTGATGCATTCTCAGACACTCTCTGAATGCAGGAGACATTCTCTTGGATCGGAAGCCTTTAATTTTGTTAAGATGATGGTACTCCCCAAATAGATCTTAGATTCAACTCAGTCTTTGTTAAAATCTCTGCTGGCTTTTTTGCAGGAGATGCAAGCTGATTCTCAAATTTACATAGAAAGGAAAAGAACTTGAAATAGCCATAACTATTGAAAAATAATAAAATTAAAGGACTTAAATTTTCCAGTTTCAAAACTTAATGCAGAGCTGCAGCTGTGCCATCTCCTGGGGCGTAAGGGTGTACGTATAAATCAGTCGAATCAGGGTGAGATTCCAGAAATGAAGCAGTGTGCTTATGATCTGTTGAATTTTGACAAGGATGTAAAGGCTGTTCATTGGGGAAAGAGTATTCTTTTCAACAAATGATGCTCAACAAGTGGATAGGCACATGCAAAAGAATAAAGTTGGATTCTTACCCTACACCATATATGAAAATTAACTCAAAATGGATCAGATGCATAAGTGTAAAAACTAAAATGACAACACTCTTAGGAGAAGGAGTCAGGAATAACTGAGTGAACCTGGGCTAGACATGGTTCCTCATCTATGGCACCAGAAACACACACAACTGAAGAAACGACAGGTGAAGCTGGGCTTGATCAAAGTTCAAGCTTCTGTGCTTCAGAAGATGCCGTCGAGGAAGAGGCAATAGCCAGGGCGTGGAAGCAACCTGGATGCCCATCAGCAGACAAATGGATGAGGAAGCTGTGGTGCATATACACCATGGAATATTACTCAGCCATTAAAAAGAATTCATTTGAATCAGTTCTAATGAGATGGATGAAACTGGAGCCCATTATACAGAGTGAAGTAAGCCAGAAAGATAAAGACCATTACAGCACACTAACACATATATATGGAATTTAGAAAGATGGTAATGATAACCCTATATGCAAAACAGAAAAAGAGACACAGATGTACAGAACAGACTTTTAGACTCTGTGGGAGAAGGCGAGGGTGGGATGTTCTGAGAGAATAGCATTGAAACAAGTACACTATCAAGGGTGAAACAGATCACTAGCCCAGGTTGGATGCATGAGACGGGTGCTCAGGGCTAGTGCGCTGGGAAGACCCAGAGGGATGGGATGGAGAGGGAGGCGGGAGGGGGGATCGGCATGAGGAACACATGTAAATCCATGGCTGATTCATGTCAATGTATGGCAAAAACCACTACAATATTATAAAGTAATTAACCTCCAACTAATAAAAATAAATGGAAAAAAAGAAAGAAAGAAAAAGGCAACCCACAGAATGGCAAAAAGTCACCTAATAATGATCTAGCAGCATACCAAGGCCAAATCCTCATTGTCTCTGTCTTTAAATTTCCAGCATGTCTTTTTTTTTTTTTTTGGCCACCATGTCTTATATCAGTACAGTTGAATTCCATCATCACCACAAACAATTTTAATAAGATTTGTGTCTCATTAGAGACACATGGGTGTGATCATAGGTCCAGTTAGCCTCCAAATAGTGTCCTGTTACTATTTTCAAGGGGAAATGAAATTCAAGATACTAGATAAAGCAATTTAGAAGTAACATGAAGCTTGACAATTCTGGGTACGTTGATGAGCAAAAGCACATTAAGTTCACATCATGTTCAGGTGTAAAGTACTTTATGTTACATTGCTTATTTATGCCTCAGATCTTCAGCAGTCCTTTTCATGTGAGGTAAATAATAGAAGATTCTTGGTGTGTCACCTGTCTGCTTCCAGCCAATCGCAGGCCAGAATTGTTTCCTGTGTAATAATAGGGTCTGTTGTTGGGAGAGGGGCTGTAAGTAAGACTTACAGGATACAGGGGGCTGCATATTAGGGCTTCTCGGTTGAAGCAGAGAGAAAATTGGTCTGGTTTGTTGAGCATTTTCAATTTATTTTGAGTTCTGACTCCAGAAATGTACAATCCTGTCTTTTCAATTACAGGTTGTAAAATGTCACTGATGTTTAATACTTCTTAAAGTCGCAGCCTTAATGATCGCTTTTACTTTTGATGAAAGCTTAGTGAGCTGTGAAAGGAAAATTACCAAATATTAAGAGGGAGAGAATTTTGTGAAAATGTCATCAAGGTTTCCATCACCATCTTTACCAATTTTCTTTTCACCTGGGCCAGTTGACTTAGGTTCCGTAACAAGTTCCTCTTGTTCACTGAATGAGCTAGACAATATTTCCCATCTTTTAAGGAAAATATCAACTGATATCAATGAAATTAAAGGGATGAAAGCAGCAATTTTGACAGTGGAAGCAAATCTGTTTGATCTTAATGTTAGAGTGTCACAGAATGAAGCAAAAATTTCATCTTTGGAGGTTAAAATGAATGAGTATTCAACAGCATCTGAAGGCAGCAGACAGTTTGAAGATCTTCAAGAGGAAGTAGATTTTGAATCACAGTCAAGGACTACTGATGTAAAAATAATTGGCTTCCTTAGAAACATTGAGAAAGGTAAATTCTTAGAATGTGTTATCATCGGGTAACTTGACTGTAGTTTTCATATGGAGCCAGCAGGTCACAGAGAACTTGAATTTTTTTGTGGACCTTTAATGGCAGAATCTTGTACATGATTTGTCTTAGAAACCCAGACCTTAGAATTCTATCCTGTTTAGTGGATCTCTAAAACTGAAGTTTTGAAAAGGTTAGAGGGGTGAAACAAACTTGAAATGTGAGAGAATGTCTTCTTTCATCTGTCTATTTTGTGATATTACTTTAAAATGTATAATTCTTCAGTGTTCACTGTTTATGCTAAAGAGATCTGTTAGTATTTGAATTGGAACAGCATCCTTCCTGTAACCTAATTACAGGTCAGTTTCTCAGGCAGGCCTGCAGGAATACAACCTGGCTACATAGCTGCTTCAGGTCAGCTCCTGACGATTTACTGTATTTCCAACCATGGTAATTTTGGAAGAAATTAACTTATTTTGGGGATCAGGGCACATCACTAAGGAGTAATGCAGTGTAACTTATATTTAAAAGAAAAGAGCTGATAAAAATTTGGCAAATTTTAAACTTTTTAAAAAACATCTTAATGAAACATGACAGTTGGTAAGCAGCTGCCAACTTAACGTGCCTGCTCTTAGTGAGCAAAACTGTCCTTGTGAAACTCAGAGTAGATTTACGAAGCGTTAGCCTGCACGATCTTCCTGATACTTCAGTGGCATTTAGAACCTTGTCAACTACGTCCCTTCCTACATGTACTGTATCACTTGAATCAGCAAGTGAGGCCTGAGTGTGCTGCGCACTAGGCCGGGGACGTTTGGAGAAGTATGACTCCCTTGCGAACCTCAACCTGAAGATAGAAAAATCAGTTCCGTGTCTCTGTCTTGTTTTATTTTGCAGTGTAACAGAAAATTGTGAATCCATTTAAGAAGTAACATTCTAGCTGTGTGTCTTTTCTTACGGGCTATCTCAGTGCTTGTTCACGTGTTTTTGTGGTATAGGACCTGGACTGCAGCGCTCTGAGTGTCTCCTTTGTGCATTGTTCCCTGTGCCCATCCAGGCCTGCAGTTTGTCCTTTGGGAATTCTGTGTTCTGCGGTGGGGGCTGACTTACCCGCTGAGAGCTCGGCGCAGACGGAGACCCTCCTCGCGGGGATCTTGCCGCCGGCTGTCGCCCGTCTCCCAGGGAGCCAGCCGGGGGCCCGCGCAGCTCCTCCCGCTGGCTTCTGCAGCCCTTTGCCTTTATCACTGCTGCTCTCCAATCAAGGAAACCAGCTTCCAGACAGGGAGAACCGTGGTCATTTTTGGTTTAAACTGAGTACAGGTTTTTGTCTTACAGACCTTTGGTCTAGGATTAATATTAAATTGTATTGTGGAAGCTTTAAGTTATTTTAAAGACTTTCAATTAGGAACCCAGAAAGACTATTTTGGTCTTAATTTCTTGGGAAGCACACGTGCTACTATTGTTTGTTTTTTTTCAGCATAGTGAAGTTTTTAAATTTATGTTCTAGGAACTCAACAGAGGCAGTTGTTATCCCGATTGCAAATTGACCCCGTAATGGCAGAAACTCTGCAGATCAATCAAGGTTGGTAATAATATTAAGTTTTCTTTTGTAATGTAGCATTTTTCAGCTGCTATTTCCATTCCTTACACCTCATTTAATGTATCCTGTATCTCTTAGATCATGCCCTAAGATGCTACATTAAGATCTATGAAAATATTTTAGGGCCAGGAGTCAGGATCTGCATTTTCTTCATGCTGTGTGGTGTTTACATTGTTTACCTCATGCAGAAACTTGCTTCCTGTGATACCATTTCACCCTGGTCCCTGGAAACCGTTGGCTGCTCACGCCTCTGCTTTAGGGACCTCTTGAATCCTTACCCTGCGTTCCATAGAACTTTGTCCATTGCTCTGAACTGCTTTTGTGTTCTCTGGCCTGATAAAACCTTATTCTCGCTCTGACTTCATGTTACAGTATCGTGGCCAGGTGTCCACCCAGAGCTTGTCATTCTGAGAGCTGCTGTAGCTTGCTTCCCTGTCTCCCTGACCCCCAGCACACACTGGCATGGACCGTGGGCTCCCTCAGCCGCGGCGAGTGCTTTGTTCATGTCTGTGTTCCGAGTGCCTGGCCCCTGCCAGATGCGCAACTGCTGAATAAATGAACGGAGCCATTGGATCCCTGGAGTCTTAAATTCAGATCCTGTTTTTTCTGTTTCCTCTAAATCTGCCTGTTGTTGGAAGCTCTGGTTCCTCGACTGCTCCGTATCGACTCCTAACTGAATTTTCCTCACCTGTGTTCAGGACTCCACAGTCAACAGTGATATTCCCTTACCCTTCCTGGCCTTCTGCTCAGAAAGGTGTGCTTATTCTCTCCAAGGATTGCCGTCTACCCAGATGCCAGATGGTATCCAGTTGGCAGATACTTTGGTGTTGAACCCCTTGTATGGCTTTCCTCTCCCTCTCTCTGGCCCCTCCCTCCTGTCTGTGAGAGGGTTGAGATCCTCTGCATCCTTGATTTTGCCCTCTCATTTCCCAACATTCCGTCCTGCTTCTGCATACGAGCACTTTCATTCAAGATGTTTGGTAGCTGAGGTCACTGTGTGTGTTTGCATCATCAGTGCTTGCGCATTTTTTGTTTCCGTCAGTTATTTTCACCCTGTTTACACCACGCAGTTCTGCAAGGCTTATGAGTGAGCACACCCTTTGCCTCCCTCCCACCACTTTCTGTTATTTCTGAGACCCCTTTGTTTCTGCTTATTCCTTTCGTTTTTTTAACACCCCGGTTTTATTTCGTGTACTCTGTACTTCCTTATTTCTCTGAAGATATTAAAGGTGGTTTTGGACATTTTCTCCCCTACCTTCTTGGTCTTGTTTCCTCCAGGTGGTTTTTTTTGATCACTGTCTTTCACGGTAGGGGTTCTCAGATGTCTGAGGATCCTTGGTTGGCTTGTATTTGAGAGCGGGGTGCTTAAGCTGATTGGCCTTTTGGGTTCATTAATTAGAGGAGGAGGTAAGGGACTTTTGACTTTTGAACGTAGACCCTGCAGTAGAAGAAGGTTTGTCTTGCCTGTTTGCTTTGGCGGCGCTATGATGTCTGTGTCTTTGAGTGTTTTAGTTTGGTCAGCTTTTCCAGAGAAAGATTGTTCAAGAAGTGGATTGGGTGCCAGGGTTCTGGGAGCTCAGTGGGGACGGGACTCAGGGAGGCACCTCAGCATTAACTACTGTGTGATGTTTACTGGACACACAGACACACACACATAGACGCACATGCACACACACACAGTTTTCAGAATGGTACTTCTTGCAACATGGCTGGCATTCATTAGTCTAGAAACCCTCTGTTTTTACCTTTTCAGGAGTCTAAAGCTCCACTTTTCTCCAGGGGAGAAGTGGTCAAAGACTATCAGGAAATCTAACTGCTTTGTACAGGTTTAATAGTGCGCATTGAGTTAGTTTTGCACCTTTCTGTCACACCATGATGCTTCATCCGCAGGCCTCTTGAGCAGTGATCAACAGGAAAGCCTGTCTCCAGTTACCCAAGTGTCTTCCAGGTTCGAGGCAGGGGAGTAGCCGTGGCAAGGGCCGCAGAAGAGAAGACAGACACACAGGGCTCAGGGAGAGCCCTGCTCCTGGAGGGACCCTTGAGCCGCATCTGCCATGCCCTGCCTTCTCCCAGCCCCTTCCCAGGGCCCCCTGTGCTGCCCCCTCCTTGGCCTGGGAAGAATCTTGGGGTCCATATTTCTTCATTGTTAGTTGAAGACTCGGCTTTTGGAGAGCTACTAAGTTAGTTTTCCACTTTCAAAATGTGGTTACCACCCTTGACGTGCCACGTTCCCCTGCAGTGGAAGCGTAGACTCTTCACCCCTGGAGCATCAAGAAAGTCCTTGGTTGTCTTTTCTTTTACAATTATTTTCTTTGTGAGGGTTTTTTTTGTTGTTGTTAATTTATCCCTTTACTGACATTTTATTAGTGTTTCAGGAGGGTGCAAGTGTGTGGATTCAGGCTGTGGTCCTCACCCAGGAGATGTCGCTCACTCTGCCATCTGTCTGCTCTGCCTGACCCAGGCCACGCTTAGGAGTCTTGAAGGGATGACAAGAGGCTCATGTCGAGAATACAGCTGTGTTCTGTGCACACTTCTCTGCACTCTGATGTGTGGCACTGACGTTCCCATGATTTCTTCCATCTTTGATCTTTTGGCTTCTGGGACTTCACTGTCTGTTCTTCTACTAGTTCCTTTTCCATCTCCTTCAGTTCCCTTCCTCTCCTGCCCCTTAAAATGTTACCGTTATCCTGTGTCTTGCCCTGAGTATTATTTTCGTCTCGTCTCTTCTCCTGAGATGCAGCCTAGTAGAACTGCTGTGCCTCTAAGAGAGGAGGGTGGTGAGGAACCGCAGCCTGCGGACTGAACTCTGGCCCCTCTGTCTGCTAGCTGTGGGACGCGGCGAAGCAGGAGGACTCTTGAGTGCAAACTGGGCGTCTGCAGCCTGGGAAGGAACTGCTTCCTGGGCTCCCTGAGGATTCAGGGAGAAGATAGCCGCACTGAATATGTACAGTTGATCACATGTTCTCATCTCACCATCAGCAGAGACTGTTTCTTCTTTCCCCCTCGTGATAATCAAATCTGAGTCTTCAGCTTCTTTCTGAACACCTGAGAGTCGTGCAGAGACCTCAGACTGCAGAAGTCTAAAACGGAAGTGTATCTCTGCCCACTTCTAAGCCTGCTCTTTGTCCTGTCCTGACGCGTGTGTCGTCCCCCCACACCCCCCCTTGTCTACGGCTCTCCTGCCCTTGCGGGGGGAGGCAGGTTTGCCTCCTTCCTGGGACGGTAGTTTAAAATGCACCTCCTGTGACTGCTAGTGCCCACATGAGTGTGGAACGTGTCTCCTCTTCCGCTAGGTGTGCAAGAGGATGACAGCGTGGGCAGCAGCCCCATGGCTGAGATCTGGGACTCTAGTCTATTCCTACCACTGTCTGTTTTTCTAAAAAAAAAGTGCTCATATCACTTTACTATTTAGAAACCCTGGTTTACTTATTACTTTTGACCAGAATCCAAGCTCATTGGCACAGGGGCAAGTACAAGATCCTTTAGGCCTCAAGCCTTCTTGCTACTTAATCTATTCAGCCTGCCACTTGTGTCCATCTATTTTTTCTATTGTGTTTTTTCTATTTTTTTGGTTTGTGTAGCTAGCACAGTGCTCTTAGGTATTCATTTTACTAAATGAGTGAACCTGAATAAGTGTCCCCTGAACTTTGGTTTCTGTTGCCTGTTAATTTAAAGAGCAGTACTGCTTACTAACATTAGTCAGTGATGCCTGTTGAGAGGTCGGCAGCCTGTATCCTGGGCTCCAGGTCTTGGTATATTTTATAAAGTAGTCGAGCTTGAAAATTACACTATAGGTGATGTGATCTGTGGCTGCTTGTGTTAAAAGTTCAGTGTTATCCTTGCTGTGTTTTTATCAATGTCTATTCATCTTAAAATTCTCTTTCAAAGTAGTCTGTCTTCAGCCAGGCATAAACTGTGCCACTTTTATTGTTTTCATCAGGGTGTGTTCTGTTCTGTAAGTGTGCAAAATGAACAAAACAGATTTTAGAAAGAGTTTTTTAAAAACAGCCTTCTTATCATAATTCAAGGGTGCATTAGGACTCTTTATTCTTTGTTTCTAGAAAATATTGTTGCACTTTTAAGTTTATGTTGTTAATAACATCCCGTTAGATGCCTCGTGGAAGAACCTTTTATGCTGTAGGCAGGCAGTTCATTCGAATGCCTTGGTAATATGCCGTATGAGCAGAGGAATGCGTGACTTCTTTGAAAAGATGTTTGGCATAGAATTGCAGCCCTATTCCTAAGTAGAACCATTGTAATTTTCCTTTAAAATAATTACAAATATATAAAGGATTGACATTCTTCTCACGTGTGTGATGTTGGGAATGCAAGATATATTCAAAAGTAAACATTTGTGGCCAATTTTTTTGGCTCAGATTACTATGACATGGAATCCATGGTCCATGCAGACACAAGATCATTTATTCTGAAGAAGCCAAAGCTGTCTGAGGAGCTAGTAGTGGCACCAAACCAGGAGTCGGGGATGAAGACTGCCGATGCCCTTCGGGTCCTTTCAGGACACCTTATGCAGACACGGTAGATGGATTCTTTTTTTCGTGTAGCTGATGTGTGTTGGTAGACAGTGGAGGTTAACCACTAGCGCCCAGCTCCCTCCTGCCCGTCCTGGCCCCTAGAGTAGATGCTGTACTGATGGAGAAGTCAGGCCGTGTATCACAAGGCACACCCAGTTTTCAAAAGTCTCAGTTCATCTTTCTTATTCAGAAATCTGTTATCATACAAATAAGTCAGTATATGATTTAGGTCTTTTAATAAGATTAATTTCTTTATACATATCCAGGAAATGAAATTTTAAAAGCCAGATGATAAGAATTAGGAGATCTCATCAGAGTTAGCAAATTGGGTTGGGGTGATTATTGCCGTAGATAATGGACTGTTCTGTAAGGAAACAAATGTAGAGTTAATAAACTTAGTGTAAATATAGAACGGCTGGCTGGCTTTTGTGTTCTGAGCATAGATGCTGATTTTTCCATTTGTTTCCATATGACCTGTGAGGGTCTAGTGGGTGTCGGGGTCAGAGCTGAGGGAGAGCGCCCTGAGGGCAGCCTGAAGGGCTGGTGTTGACGCCACAGTCATCGTGTGTGAGCAGGAATCCGAGGAATCCGCTAGTTGTCCCTGGGAGTCCTGTCAGGGCTTGCTTGTTAGTGAAGGAGCCGCAGACCAGTCAAGGCAGTGATAGTGTTTTGGAGAGCGCTGTAGGAGGCTCGGCTTTTTGTGCGTTTCCCTAATTCTGTGGTATTTTCTATCTGTCTGGCAGAGATCTTGTACAACCAGATAAACCTGCGAGTCCCAAGTTTATAGTGACGCTGGACGGTGTCCCCAGCCCCCCAGGATACATGTCAGATCAAGAGGAGGACATGAGCTCTGAAGGAATGAGAGCCGCCCAGCACCCTGCAGCCTCACACGGGGGACTCGCGGGTCTCCTCCGCCCGCAGCACGCCCGCGTGCTGAGCAGGCAGCTTGAGGACCCAGATGGTAGCTTTGCAAACGGTGTGTGGGGGCTCAGCCCGCCCTCTCAGGGTGCTGGCCTTGTGGAGGACGTCTGTGCCGTGCGTCTCTACCTTGAATGAATATTGGTTGGAGGTCTTTTATTTATAATTTGGTAGTGGCCTTTATACTTCTTCAGACAAAATGACCAATTGAATTCGAAACTGTTTGTCCTTTGTGTGTAGTAAAATGGAGGTCCACCATGGAGGCCAACAAATACCTCTCTGTGATGCTTCTTAAAGGGTGAATTCATGCTTGGTGCCTTGTTTAACCTTTTTTTCCCATTTAGAAACTATATTTGTGATATTCCCCTTGAACCAGCAGTAGTTGGTTACTCTCGTAATTAGTAATTAACTTGACAGAAAACTCTATTTGAATTTTGATGTTATTCCTACTTCAGTGAAATTCCTTTGAAAGGAGTTTCTTATCTAATCTTCAAAGTACTTCTTGGAGGTTTAGGAAAAAACCTTTTGTTTAAATTAATATAGAGGCATAGTAGTAGAGATGAACTCAGTTCAGATAGGGACATGATTTTAGGCAGATGAACGCTTCTCAGCAATGCTTCTCTCTGGATGTCAGGGGCTGGTGCCTTGAGCGTTTTCATTCTTGATAGAGAATTCCAGTCATCTTCCTCACAGCTTATAAAAATTTTAGGAATACCTTCATTGGCAAGGGAGACAATTACTGAATATTAAATATAAAGAGCATCAAAGAAGAAGCAGTAATGGGTTCTGAAATTTTCCTACAGTAATCCTTTTCTTGTTAGAGATACAAAAATGTAGTAAATACATTTTTTGGTCCCGCCTTTAGCGGGAGATCGTCAGTGAGCGAAGGACTTATTGCTATTATCTTGAACAGAGTGCACTGCTGTGAATCAGTTTTGGTTGGTGGAGCAAGTTGTAAAATCTGACCTTTCTTTCAAAGGAAGAAACTTTTAAATGTTAATGACAGAGGTGATAAGAGCTGCAGTATTCAGGCAGTTCAGGTTTCTTGACGCCGTGTATTCTGTTTAAAATATGAGGAGATTCTGGTGTTTTTAGTGCTTTGGATTTCAGTTTGTCGTTTAATTTTTGGTACCTTCGGGTCTTGTTTAGTTGCCAAGTTGCGTCTGACCCTTTGCGACCCCATGGACTGTAGCCCACCAGGCTCCTCTGTCTGTGGGGTTCTCCAGGCAAGAGTGCTGGAGCGGGTTGCCGTGCTCTCCTCCAGGGGGTCTTCCCACCCAGGGATGGAACTGGCGTCTCTTGCTCTGGCACCTGGATTCTGTACCCCTGATTTTGAGAAACGCAGTTTCGGGCCTGATTTTGTTTGAATGTAGACGTGCACGAGCAGCTTTCTTGGCGTCTGCGTCATAGCAGTGACCCTCTGGGTGGTGGGAGCTCTCGTCAGCCTGTGTGGTGCTGTGGCGGTCACGGAGACGCCTGTGGGGACGGGGAGCCGCCTTCATCACGGCTTCGACCTGGGCCTCTCAGTTTCCCGCTGCTGCGCGGAGGCGGAGCTCTGCAGTAGCGAGGGCCCGGGGCGGCCGACGAGGCTCCCTCAGGAGGCTCTCATCTTGCCCGCTCTGCCCGCCCGGGTGGGGGTTTACTCTCCGTGGCTTCCTGTCCAGGTTTCAAGGATGCCACCAATTGCAGCATCTGTTTTAAGCCACTCTGGCTGGCCTTTCACAGCAGCACAGATTTTATACTTTGCAATAAAAAGTGAATTTGCCTCTTAAAACTTACACAGGAGGAGAGTTGATAGCTTATGAGGTGAATGTGAGAGGAAACCAGAGCTGTGAACTTTGTGTATGTACGATGGCATTTTTCCTCAGGAAGATAGTTTTCCTGTACCGTGTCTAACTTCAGGATTGCTCCTGAGATCTGTGGATAGCTCCTTCACTCCGCTTTCCAGAATCCCCTGCTCTTGGGTATCCGTTGATGTCTTTCCCTTGGTCTGGGTCTTGTGCATGTGCTGGAGTTAAAAGTATGGTCTCTGGGGGGAAGGTGAAACACAGTGTCTTTGCAGGAGTTACACATCAAAAAATTATAATTGGAGAAAACCCCTCCTTCCAGACCATTGTATTTTGAGACTAAGGATAGTTTTCTATCCTGGAGCTAGATAGTGACCTTAACTGTGTTTAAAGGCGGGTGGACATGGTCCCGGCAGCTTTCCGGGGGTGCTAATGGCGGGCGTCAGGGCTGGGCTGTGTGCCGTGTTCTCCTTCACGAAGACGGAGGTGGGCGCTCTGGGGCAGGAAGTACGCCTCACACTGGCTGTGCAGCTGTCTGTCTGTCTGTCTGTCTGTCTGTCTGATGGATGGCCTGTGCTCCATTCTTGTTTCCATGTATCACAGAGCTCTAAGGAAGACAGTTTCTCTTGGTTTAGATGAGGAAACAGAAGTTCAGAGATGTTGTAATACACTCTGAGTGTCTAGCTCAACCAGTCAGCGAGAGAGCCAGGTTTGAGCTGCAGGAGGACTCGGTGGTGTGGTTGAAGTGCTGTTTGCTCTCATAAACATGAATAAGAAATTTGTTAGTAAGACCCTTGATTCTTTTTTTTCCCTAGGGTGTCTTGGGTCAGTAGCTGACATCTCATTATGTATGGTCTTCGGGTGTTACTTGGTTTATTCTGTGTTTTAAGTTTCAGTTAGTTGCTGACATTTAAAACTTAGATGTCATAGGGGACTTCGCTCACCACCCAGTTGTTGGGACTCCCCGCTTCCTGGGTTCCCTCCCTGGTCGGGAGCTGAGATTGCACGCACCGCCCAGCTCAGCCCAAGAACAGAGCCGAGTTTGGACCCCAGACGCAGAGGCGTCTGTCTGCCTGAGTCGGGCAGCAGTCTGGCGGCACTGCTGCCGTTCTCTCGTCGTGGTCGTCGATGGGGTCGTTGGACCCACCCCGTGACGGGTGGTGCTGAGCACCTCGGGGTCACACGTGCGCTCTCCAGGCCGCTCTTCTGAGCAGGCTTCCTCCGTGAGGCTTTCTGCCATCGGGTCCCCTTGCCTCTGGACAGCCTCACTCTGATCTGTTAAGTGATCCTCTGGGCCCCTGTAGGTCGTATGACATTTGTGACTCTTTAGGCAAAACCTTTTCCTCCCTTTGTCCATTGATGTGAATTTATCACCTGTATCTAGAAAACTATACATACCTCGCCGAGTGGGAACACTTGTTTTTAGACACCAATCATCTGAACCTGAATATAAGAATTCATTCACGTTTTTTATCACCTCGTGTTTTCAGTTCTCATTTCATTTTATTGGTCCCCTAGTTGACACTCTTTGCTCTTTTAATCTTCATTCAGCTGAAATAATTTTGAGAATTGGAATTTTTCAGGGAGAACTGACTCTTACTGAGCATCACTGTCCACTTTCCTGTTCACAGTAACACTGTAGTCTACTTCCTAGTAATCTTTTGTAAGATTCTAGTTGTATTATTTGGACTCATTTGTTTTGTGTGACTGTAGACATAGAAGAATGTAAGATTGTAAGGCTGGGTGTTGAGGGAAGTTTACTAAAGGTGTCATGTCCTGAACTGGCCATAACGACTGAAAGACTTCCAATCCGTCCCCTTTGTAGCTGAGGCGAGCGAGCTGAGTGTGGCGCAGAAGCCAGAGAAGCTGGTGGAGCGCTGCAAGTACTGGCCTGCCTGCAAGAACGGGGACGAGTGCGCTTACCATCACCCCGTGTCGCCTTGCAAGTGAGTGCGGCAGCCCGCTCCCGGCTCTCAGGTCCCTTCCTGGCGGCGCTTCTTTCTGCCGGCCCTTTCCTGTGACTGCGTGCAGCGGGGGGACAGCGCACACTGGTGTCTGAGGGCGCGGCGGCAGGGCTTGCCTCTGTGCCTCTTGAGATACCGAAACTCCTGGGTTTCTTTGAGGATTCTGTACATTTAAGGAGTGACAGACAGGTCTGCCTTGGAGTACAAAGATGAAGCAGGTCAAAGGCTAACAAGAGTTTTGCCAGGAGAACGCCCTGGTGGTAGCAAACACCCTATTGTGTAGAATGTTACATAGCCCTCAATTACAGAATAAACAGTGTCTCTTCTTGGCACAAGAAACACCTCTCCCTTTCACGGTGACTTGGCTTAAGATGAAAATCTGTTAATCCCCTGGGCTTTGAAATAGGCATGTGTGTCCTGTTTTGATATCTGGCATCATTTAGAAATGGGAATTTGCTTTTTTTTTTTCTTGTTACTTCAGTGTAACAAGTAGTGACGGAATTAAGAGTACAATGGAGCATCTCTACAAAAAACCATGCATTTGGGAGAGTAAATGTGAATAATACGTTTTATTTTGTTTTATAGAGCCTTTCCCAATTGTAAATTTGCTGAGAAGTGTCTGTTTGTTCATCCAAATTGTAAATATGATGCAAAATGTACTAAACCAGATTGTCCCTTCACTCACATGAGCCGAAGAACCCCAGGACTGCCTCCAAAACCAGGTCAGTGACTGTGCACTTCTGCATTTGAGTGAAGAGGGGAAAATGACATTTTGTGACTGTAAACTGAGTTAAAAAGAAATAGTTTGAGATCATTGTGTAAGAGACGAGTTTACAGGTGTGTCCATTCTATAGCATTCTAAAGTATTTTGTCTTGACTAATGAATATTATAAATTTCCCATTTTTTAAAGTAGTTCCCATAAAAGCACCCACAGACTGTACTAAAAATTGTTTTGCCAAACCCCATCTCTCTCCACAGTCACAGCACCAGCACCGCCTTCCAGTAGTCAGCTGTGCCGCTACTTCCCAGCTTGTAAGAAAATGGAGTGTCCCTTCTATCATCCGAAAGTAAGAACTTGCATCTTCCCAAAAAGGGATTTAGTGGCAGCTTGTTCAAAACTATATTGTCTTCCTTTTTTTTTTTTTTCCTTCCCCAGTTTAACTTTTTTGTTAAGAGTTAACTTCATGGTTTTTAAGAGCTTTAAGTTACTCCCTAGTTGTCCCTGAGCCCGTGTGTGGCCTGTTAGGCCAAGTCATCTGAACCGGTTTAATGTTAGCGGACTGATCTCCCGTGGCCGTCCCTGGCGGCTCAGACGGTAAAGGATCCGCCTGCAGTACCGGGGACCCGCGTTCAGTCCCTGGGTCAGGAAGACCCCCTGGAGGAGGACGTGGCAGTCCACTCCAGGATTCTTGCCTGGAGACTCCCACGGACAGAGGAGCCCGGCGGGCTGCAGTCAGTGGGGTCGCAGAGTCGGACAGGACTGAGCCCCTCCCGGGAGGGGGCACTCCCTGCTGCTCGGCGGGTTCCGTTCTTTGCCCCGAACGTGTCCCCCACCCACCCTCGTGCCAGGCCGGAGACACTGGGTCCAGTGGTAGCTAATGGCACCATCCCTAGTCCATCATGTATCCATGGTTCTAATGTCTGCCCTAGAGATCGGTCGGGTGTCTCCAGCTGTCTAGCTGCTTGGCATGAATCACCTTCTCTTTGGAACGGCAGCCTGGTGGCCATACTTATGAAAGGCCTTCAGTTCCCCAGCTGTGGTTGGACACAGATAAGGGTGAAAATGGGAGGGTGCTGGGCAGGATGGGCAAGTGGTTATGACACGAATGAGAGGAATCTGTTATATGCTCCAGTTCCTTTTGAAGTTTAACTTGTTACTTTTCAATTAGGATCTTGTCTCTTGGTGGGGGTTCCTGTTTGAGGGCTTCAGCAGGAATAAAGTAAATGTGGACAGTCCCTATCTGCTGCCCCGTCGCCCTATGGGCTGGTTACTGTCAGCCCAGGTTGCTGTGGGTTTCTGCATTAGCTTTGCAGGTGTTGAAACTGTTCTCTGTCTTCAGCACTGTAGGTTTAACACGCAGTGTACGCGACCTGACTGTACGTTCTATCACCCCACCATTACTGTGCCACCGCGACATGCCTTGAAATGGATTCGACCTCAGACCAGGTAAAGGTCAGAAATAGTTTTTCTAATGTCATTTCAAATGCTTTTCTAGTATATGTAATACTTTCTTAAATTTGTAAGCATACAAATTTGGGGGAAGCATCACTTTATGTCTGCTGTCCAATTAAGGGTCTTTGGCAAAATAATTTACTACATAAACCAAATTTTGTTTCATTCAGTAGTTGTTTGTTTGCCTCAGACTTTAACTTCTGAACAGACTGTGAACATGAACTTAAGGCCTTCAAATTACAGATTTTCACATCAGTTTTCTTAGACATTAAGTTTCAAAATATTTTTACTGTGACCCTTAACAGTTAAATGCATATATTAGTATCTTTTATGTACCTTATATAGGTTATTCTTTTACAAATCTTATATTTATAATTTGTAGAGCAAGTATTGTCTGAAAATACTCAACTTCTCTTAACTGACGTTAATTGAAGCAATTAACTGAAAAACTTTTGGTTTTGTTTATTCAGTGAATGACACCCAGTCCTACCTGACGGAAGACTGTGGCGTTTGAAAGTTTCCATCTACTGATGAAAGACATTCTGCAGAATTTGTCAAATCTTTGAAACTTGGAATATATTGCTTTCATAATATGAAGTTTATTGCCTATCTGAAGTGTCTAATTTTTCAAGTTTGTAAGTTTATTAAGTGATTTTAACATTGGGTCTTTGTTGTTTTGTTTTGACTGTGGAAAGACAGTTTAAGGAAAAGCTGAAATCTATTAAAACATTTGAGGCATGTTTGTACACTGCTGTGTTCAAGTATCAGAATTTACACCGTGGTGCTGTCACTGTTGGTACTGATGACCCAGGTGAAGCCCCAGCGGTGCTGTATGAGGGAGGGTCCTTATTCCAGAAGTTGGATGGCTGCTTTCACTTTTCGACTCCCCAGAAAACAGGAGTGGCCCAAAGTGCTGAGGTGGCATAAAATATTCAGTCCTACTCTTTAAAGTGAGTCTAGTCTGAAAAGCATGACTATAAACGCTTTTTGAGTTGAGCACTGCTTTGGTAAATGGTTCCCAAATATCTATCCTTGCTTTCTGAGAAAGGATGAGTGAAGTGGGGTGTGTAGGGTGAACAGAGTTGGAATGGCAAAGGCAACAGTTCCTTAAAATTCTTTCATTTACTGTTAACGTATGCCTTTTAAATAAGTATTTTAGGGATCTACATTATCACAAAATTATACAAAATTTTTTTACAAGTATATACATAAGGTATCAGAACAAACTTTAAACTCACAAGATTATAGCTATACATACATATTCTCACATTCTGAAAAATAACATTCTCAGAAATAACTCCACAGAAAATATCACTGAAGATAATTTTTTAAATGTAAAAATTAAATAGTATATTTTAAATGACAGACTGTATAATTACAGAGATCAGATGGGTAAACTGCAAAATAGGACTAAACTTTTGGGATACTGAATGAAAATACAGAGTTTTGTGTGTGTGGTTTTAAAATTGTTAAGGCAAGAAGTGTCAAATGCTTTAGAATTAAATAACGGATCACTGATTTTTAAAGACTGTAGTTTTTTAAAAAGTCAAGCTAAAAGTTGGTTAGAAAAAAAGAGTTAATGCAAAAAGGATAGTAAAGATCAAAATATTCTAAGGACCAAATTAAACTATATATAAAAAAAAGTAAGTTGTTTGACATGCTTATTAGTCATATATTGAAGGGATAATAAAACTACATGTGTGTAAAAGTCCATGTTTCAGATGCTAAAAGCTGAAGCCTTGTGGCCATCTCTTTGCTGTTGGAAGAAGAAAGAATTAACCAGTTATTAAACCATCTTTTAAGCTGCACTTTGCTGTGCTTATAAGACTTGAAACATTAGAACAGGCAAGACAGTGTACACAAGGGCATACATTAAAGCTATCGTGTAGTTAGCCTTGGGTGAAATGGCAATTCCACTTCATTCTAAAAAGTTCTACTCCACTGAATCTAAGGTACTTGTTCACTCGGGTGTTGACTTACTTGAGATGCTTTATTTCTGCAGAAGAAATTTGTTTTAAATTGTACTTACAGAAATTTTAAACAGACTTTTAGTATCAATGCTCATAAATGGAGTATATTTGTATTCTCATAATTTTCACTGTAAAAAGTGGGAAACAAGGGCTCAAGTGATTTAGTTCTACCATTTTATGAGGAAATAATATGCTGAAATCACATTTTTTTTCTATTTAATAGACACAGCCTGGAGACGCATTAAGAGTTTCATCTTTCAGTTGCTATGGTTTATGGGCAGGCAAAGGTTCACATAACTTGGTCCAAAATTAGCCACCATCAAAAAAGTTCACAGAAAAGGAAGGGAACAGAGGTGGCCGTGAGTCGCACCAGGTGCCAGGGTGTCTGGGCATACGTCTGCACACAGCGAGGAGGCCAGCGGTGCCCGGGGGGTGCAGGTTACAGACTGGGGAGCTCAGTCAGGTACTGCACATGGAGACAAGCCTCTAGGTTAAAAAACAGACTGTGCAATCCACGTGGCCTGCCGTGGCTGTGCACCTTGCCTCAGCCAGTGGCTGGTGTAAGGGCGGCGGTTGTGGGCTGACCACGCTGGGACACGGGCGGCGGGGATTAAGGCCGCCGCAGGCTGACCACGGGGAGAAGGACAACGCGGGGGAGCAGGTTCACCCTATGTGGTTCCGTGATTACGGCCGAAGAGTTAGTGTTTCATCAAATTGGGCTTAATTTAGGAGAATCCATTGACAAGAAAATGATAATGTTTCACGCTTCTTAAATGAACACCCCAGTCACTCCTTCAGACGCAGCTGTTCAGAGCTCTAAAACCGACCAGGTTCAGTCACTGGCTGGGCTTCCATGATGTAACTCGGCCTTTTCTGGTTTTAATATTTAAGGGTTTGTTGCACATAGAAAACAGATGACCAGAAACCTGAAAGGCTCTATTACACTACAAAGATAATTAACACATGAAAATAAAAATTCATAGGACCAATACAGCATCTTAAACTTCATACTTAGAAAAATATATTTTTAAGTAGCAGTCTGCGTAATTTCCAGTCTTCGGGAAACTACAGATAAGCTGAATAGGAGGTTCCTGAATGGCAGGTGCTGATCTTTGGCAGCATTTAACGTGAACAGGAGTAAGGATCTCAGAGTTCAGCCCCAGTCCACCAAGAAAGAACTGTTATAGACAAGTTCTATAAGTGGACCGATCTTCATTCCTTTTGGAAGTCAGCCTACAGGGTAGAATACATTAAACAAATTTTTCCATAGAAAAAAAGGCTATAAAAATTTTACTTCAAGAGTTACTAAATTGAGTAACTTTGTAAATGTGAATTCAGTGCTTTAGTTTACATGTTAAATATTTCTATTAGACTGCATCTTTAAATACTCAACATTCTCCCAGTTAAATAGTACTACTGTCTAAAACCTTAAACTGTACATCACTGGAAATGACTGTTTATCATACTTTTCCATTAATGAGGCTATAATCATGTTTTACTGTTTCAGTTACAGAGATGAATTCTGAACATAAGAGTGACAGCTCAAAAGTGAAAATGTAGTGATCATATACTACTGACTTTGGATTTGTTTGAATTTAAAACTTTCAGGAGAAAATGTGCTTTATAAGCGGGACTTTATTAATGCTTAGGAAGCATTAGATTCTCCAGTAGACCTCATGTGTGTTTTCTTAGGGAAAATAATGTCTGCCTTTTAAAAAGGGTGATGGTATATTTCCTTATGTAAACACAAGGATAAAATACTGAAAAGCTTAATCTTGAAAATGCAAATTCAAAAAAGAAAAAGTTTTGCTAAAAAAGAGGATGAAAATTATCCACGTTGGGTGTTTGAGGTTTTGGTTCACTTTTTTGAGGAGCTCTGTCTCCCAAACCTCCCCAGCAGGTCTGCCAGATCTGCACACTCGCCAGAATGGGGGCTAGCTGTCACCATCAGTTCATTTAATCCTTTCTTGACATGGGATTACCTGGCAGTGGGTGGATTATGGACAGTTACCTAGTGCGTATTACAAATATTTTGAACCGATCAATCTTCATTTTGACAAGTTTGGGCACTTATCCCTGTTTCAATCTTAAGTTAGCACCACTTGACCATGCAGGGCTTGGTTCTGATTATTTTTTCCACTTGTGTAGTCCTGCTTTTCTCAAGGCTGTTAATTTACAGAGTCTTCTCAGCATCTGTATCTTTCAGTGAGGCATATGTACACATTTCCAGACAAATAAACTGCAATCAGAAAACAGTGAGTTCATGATATTTCTAAATTCTCAGAACAGTTTGTTTTTCAATTAAGCTTTCAAATCATACATATATGTATAAAAATTTTCCTTTTTAAGTCCTTTTATTCTCTATGTACACAGTATACAACTCCAAGGAGCCACCTGGTTTTGCTAACGTTATTATGATGTTGACTAGCTGAGTCCATACAATGAACCTATCAGAAGAAGTGATATTAAATCTTAACGAGTACGCTGGCATATCTTGGGCTGAGAAAGTCACCAACCTGCAGTCATCACCGCCAGCACTGATCACGTGTCGATCGCCACTGGTAAATCGAATATTTGTCACGTGGGGTGAATGACCCAAGAACCTTTTGTGTTTTGCCTAAAAAACAATGAAGAACAAGGCTCAGCATGTGTGATGAACACAGAAGTCAAAGGTTTCTATCAGGAGCCACTGTCTCCATCACAAAGACTGGAGAGAGTAAGCAGTTTGGATCACAGCTATTGATTAAATGCTTTTTCAGAGTGATGGGTCTGCGTTGAAAAGCATTTGCAGTTAACAGATGGATTAAAGGTCTGGTAAAAGGCTGAGTGCAGCTTTGTTAGGACACTTTGAGAAGATGGCATGATTTTTGAGGGCAAGGGGAGATCATCTAACCGCTTTTATTTCAGAGTAATGGATTTAGGAAGTTTGGAAGAAAGTTTAGAATCACAAATTTCAAAATATTTTCAAGTCATGAGAACATTTTAGCACATATTATGTGGAAAATGTACTAATAATGATTAAAAGTAAATTGGGGGTAAAGTTACGTAAAATACTAAACCCAAGATAAACTTACAAATTTTTCAGGACATGGGAAGTCAAATAACTTAACCATGCCAAAGTCATCTCCCGTTACCAGGCTGATTCCTGAATGAGAGACACAGGCACAGTTGACATCTGCTTTCTCAGCGTGTCTGGACCAGATTCCCATAACTTCATCTCCTAGAATACTACAGAGAAGGAATAAAAAAACCCACCATAGCAAACACGGGTTTATATACTGGAAAAGTTTCATGGTAATTAATCTCTAAGTACCTAATTAAGTTATTTAGACATAAGAAGAAATTATGACAACATGTTACCTGGAAACCTGAATTTCTCCTGGGATGTGAATCCCTGCACATACACCTTTTCTTATTGAAATTTTACAATTTTAAGGGTTTATAGACTAAACAATCTTTCAAAAGTTCAATTAATACTTTACAATAGCCGACAGAACTATTTTAAAA